ATATTTTGTTTCATTATATATTTGAATATATGAAGCATTATATTGAACAACTTATTTGTCTCAAGGCTTTGCCAGATGCGCCCAGGAAGGGGCTCGTCGATTGGTGGCGACGCCGCTGGGCGGAATTTAGGGATGAACCCTGGGGGAAAAGACCCCACAGCCCAAGTTTTGTGGTGCGTTTTTGGGGGTGTTGTTCGAAAGCTTTAACACAAAAATACATTAGCCAAAAGAGCAAACCCACTTTGGATTTGGTCGATCTACATGACCTTCCCAGGGCCTGAGATGTTGAATTGCAGGGCTGCACTGGCTGCACATGTTTAGAACATGTACCACACACGTCTTTACAGTCTTCTGTCGATGTCTCTTTCTAAGTGACCAAATGATGGCCATACCGGGTTGATGGTTTCCCCTGGTGGCTCCAAGGACTCACGAAGAACATCTCGAGCAACGCGCATTTCCGGAAAGCAGGTGTTTACCCGCTTTAAATGTACTGACATCAATTGAATCATTATAATATTTGTATATTCACCCGGGATACGGATTTGTGTATAGTATTTGAATCATAATGATTCGTGTGGAAGAGTGCCTAGCGGCGGATCCTAGCTTTGTTTAGGATTATCGAGTAGATGATGTTGTTGATGATCCCATCATACCCTGGTGACATACGATGCCTGTGCTGCAAGAGAGTTGTTTCGAAAGTCTTTGGCCTTTCAGAAGATTGGGACAGTCCTTTAGCTCAGAATCAAGTATCTATGTGCTCCCTTAAACCCAAATAAACACAATAAACATCAAAGCCAACTCTGTGCAACAACACCATAGTGGCACATAGTGCCCATGGTTGCACTGATGCTTACTTTCTTCAGATCTATTTACTACAACACCCATCCTACTGTTAAAGTAGGAATCCGGCACACGTTGAAGGAAAGAAAAGACCACCATGCAACATAATGGTTGAAATTCCGGCTGTACCATGCCGGGTGTCTTCCATCAGTATCTCAGTCTTCTATCCATTCTTGGCCACGACACCGTCCCGAGGGAGACGGTGACCGTGGTGGGCGACTGTTGCACCACTGACGGCACTGACCTCCCAGCGCCAGTGGAGCTCCTGGCGGGCGCGGAGCCCCTCGGTGTCGACGCTTTTACCGGGCGCAGTGGTTCACACCTTATATTGGTACAATGACTCACAACGGTGGTTCTTGAAAGAAGCGGTGTGCATCCGGTTTGTGGAGGCAGGTGATTTGTTCGTTGATATCATATGACGCTAGCTTATTTTTGACCAAACTTCGATTTGCCCAGTAGCATGACCGGCTTGGGAATGCTGACCTCTGGTCGGCTTTGTTGATCTTTGTTTGTGCCTGGGGGCCATGGTGATGCTGAAGACCGCTTGCGGTCCCGAAATGGCGCACTCGTTTCTATGAATTGAATCCTTTGCACCAATTTGCATCCATTTGTATAGCTGTATCGTTTGATTCATTTGCTCTGCCAGCAACTCACAAAATCAACGAGCACAACATATAGATAGATAGATAGATAGATAGGTCTTTGTTTGTTGGGGGCCTAACATAAAATTGACTAATATTGTACATATATATCTAATGATATATATATATTATCAATGTACATCATGATATATTCTAATGTGTGCTTCCAAAGCCGATTAAAACCAAGTTTTCTCTTTGAACATCTTGTTATGTAGAGTAGCTGTAGAGTTTTTTGAGGCTAAAGTCACTTGGAGGTTGGCAGGTAGGAACGGCTTCAAAGCTGTCAGGAATCAGCACGGGACCTCCTTCAGCTCACCTGTGAGCAGCACCTGTGCGCCATTGGTCCTGGCCAATGCTGAGAAATACGATGCTTGGAGTGAATGACCGTTTGTTAGAGCAAAGCAGGGGTTAAGGAAGTGGTTTTGGAGGGGTGGGTGTCTTTGGTTCTAGAGCGCTCCTGTTAGCTGTGTTGTTTAAACATTTGCTGTTTTAATGCTTTTGGTGTGGTTTGCCCTTCACCTTGCATGTAGCTGTCGCACTCTTGAGGAGAGGAACTGGCGGGAACCGGTCAAGTGGTCGTGCTTTTCCCTTGCTCATTGAACGACTTCGGCCCACCAACATCTTCGGGCGTTCTTCCCTCGAAGCGAACAGGGCGGAGCACCGGGCAGAGCATTGCTCTAAGGAGATCCCCGCCAGTTGTGCTGCCTTGGAGGTGGGTACCAGCTGCGAGGTCAGCTGCAATTCGCAGATCTACATCACCAACAGGCGCTTCCCCGACCCGTTTCGGAAAGGGGGGGAGGTAGAGAGGGAATCCAGGACTTTTGCTTCCCAAGGTGGATGGGGTGCGAGGTCAGACATGCAAGGTTTTCTCAGGGTCTTGGATTGCTGTGAGCTTGGCAAATATTGATCACAGCACAATAGAAACACAGATCATCGCTTTGGTCCGCGCGTTCATTAGTATTTTGATGTATTTTGTTTTGCCAGGGCTCAAACTGATGCTCTATTCAACAAAGTAAAAGCGCCGGATAGCGCCGCTATTCTTTGATGGTTTATGATGTTTTTAATGTTGCGTTCAAGAATGTCAGGCTCGGTGTTCACAGTGTTTTGTATGTGCGATGTGTTTGACACTACGCACCCCGAAAGCACTGTAGATGCCATTGTTTTGGTTTCAAAGTTTATTTTTGCAAGGCACAATACACAAACTACCGCTGTTTAGAGCGTGTTTGAAGACAATGTTCAAGAACACTGAAATTGGTGATGATTTTATCCACTGCTGTTTGCAACAATTTCTATTGCACGTTGAGACCACGCACAACACGGTGTCACACAAGACTCAGCAAAGCACGATTTCGGGTCTCGTGTTCGGGGCTAAACGTTCCAGCGGAACGGGGCGCAAAGGTGTTCAACGCCTGGTGGGCATGTGATTCGTTGAGCTGGTTGATGATGCAACAGTGGCGAAGTTCACCACTCCCAGACCATCCATATGACTGGAATAGTTATACATCATCCATGCAGGTAACTATTCCAGTCCGGATGGGCTGGGACTAGTCATGTCCACTCATATGATCTCTAGTCTTCGGTACGTTTTGCGGATGAGTCTTCAGACAATAGAGATTGATGCCTGGAAAAAACTCCCTGCACGAGTTACGTTGGACCATTTGGGGGTGTAGTGGTTAAGGGTTCGATAATGGTTTGCAATAGACCCTAAAGTGTCAACCCCTGCCCCGCGGGCCAAATCGTACTGGTAAGTAGTGACCAATAGTGGTTGACTGCTGGATTTAAAGATGTTTGCCCCCCGTGCATGGTGATAATTGAAACCTGCAAACATTCCTGTGGATATGTGCGAGTTCCTGCTCGATACCCACATTGTACCGGCCAGTCTCGGTGTCTACGAATGCGTCAACGGTATGGGCGAGCAGCTTGGCAACATGGGCGACGGAGAAACACGCAAACATTTCTCGCACATGAGAGCTCAAATTGGGTTCACCATTATTGCTCAGCCTGAGAATGGGAATTAGAGAAGGGTTGCTCAGCCCCTAAAGAGGGTCACCGTGATTCACGAGCAACCCTTGAACAGCGGACGGTCGACTTGCTGGTCGGTGAAACCAGAGGACCTCAAACCATGGCATTTTCATGTTTTTGCGGCAAGTAAGCTGATTTAGAGTAATTGGTGTTCCATGTTATTCCCAAACCTGATTGCAAAGCAATGAAAAAGCAATGAAGGTCTCTAGAACGCATACGCTGTAAAGAAAATCGGCAAGGGGGCCCAAGGGTTTTGTAAGAATTCCCAGTATTCCCTGCGGTCCAAGTCCCTTTTTTGCATTGATTTCCCTCATAGTTCCCACTTCCAGGCCATAACCCCCCTTTTCAAACTCCACGGTGGGGCAGCTGCTTCGACAGCGAACGGCTGAGGCAGCCGGTGGGACAGCTGCCAGATTGCGTCTTGAAGTCGCCCCTCGGTGAAGGAAGCGTCTCCGGGGGACTGAAGCGTCGCCCGACTCGCAGCGATGTTTCGACCTCGACCACCAAGAGAGGTTAAGTGAGCATATTACAGGACCCTTCTGGGGTACTGTATGGGATAGTTCATAGGGTTCTACCTCTGTTGGTATGGATTTCTTATATATCCATATAATATATATATATATATTGTCACTGATTTTCATACCAAAAGACCCGATGATGGCCCCAGACTTCTTGGGATACACCGCTTCTTTTCCGGTCGCATGTTCATCGCCATGCAGGATGGACCCACAACCTGTCGGTCCACCGGTCCCTGATGGGAGAGTTGGATGGAATCACATGACGGGTTGAAGTTGGCACATATTCCGATGTTGCTGGTGGTGGCCGGTGGTACTTGTAGTGTCGGTACCTGGCCGAATGACCCGGCGCAATTTCTGGATGGGCAATCTCATTCGCTGTGAGGCATCAGACGAGTCACAAAGTTGAAACGGATCAACCACACCCATGCATGTCTCTGATGTTTCAAAACAGGTGCGGCCCAAGGAAGAGTCACGGATGCTTGCACAATTCGTGGGAAAGGTGAACAAGAATGGGGGTACGCCTGATACGCCGGTAGCAATTTCCATGCCTAGCAGCCTACCAACAAAAAACTGTGCACACTTATTGTGAAAGACTGAGTGAGGTATCGATGCCAGATTCCCTTCATGTGCGGCCATTGCGGCCCGAATCCCCTCGGCCTTTGTACCAGGCCTTCAGCCATAGCTACGCTTCTCGGAAAACGTTCGATTGACTTTGCTCGACCCCGCAGTTCGTGTGTTGTCATAGAGCGGCCATCCACAGTGGTAGCGGAGCTCTTGTTGCGATCCTGGCCTTTGCTTTTAGCCCGTCACTTCGTGCCTTGGACCTGACTCGAGACCTTGGAATTTTCAGCAAGCGTTGATTCTTTTCTTGACTTCGAGCCCGGTCCTTCGTTTCGACCTCGCCGGAAGATCCGGCGGCTTTCACCTTTGAGCTACTACACCACCACCTTAGACAAGCTGTCCCTCGAAGAGGCCTTAGATGGCGACTGGTGGTGGCGACGAGAAAGGAGCGTGGTACCAAGTGCCGACTTGGGATGGGTCGCCATTGACATGGCGATCATTTAGAAGGGAGATGACTTGGTGGGTCAGCAGCTTGGACTTGCAGGCCACGGCCAAGTATAACTTGGCTGCTCGCTGGCTCCTCAGACAGACCGGCATCGTTCGCCAGCGTGGGGAAGAGTTCAATCCCGATGAACTGCAATTCAAGCCCGCTGAAACCTACACCGACCCTGTTTCTGGCGAACCTGTTGAGGTGACCCCTGCAGACTATTTGTTTGGGTTGAACAAATTGCTCACCGCCCTTGAAGCAATCAACGGACAGAGTTTGTTGGATAAGCGTGGTGAGCTTCGCAACTTGTTCTACTTGGAGTTGAAGCGGTCTCCCAATGAGCGTGTTGCTGAGTTTTGCACCCGCTTCAGGACCTTGGCTGCCGACCTCAGTGCAGAGGGAGTTTCGATTCAGAGCACTGAACTCGGCTGGTTCCTTCGCCAGAAGCTTGGCCTTGATAGTCTGCGTCAACAGCTTCTTGAAACTGCCCTTGGCGGCCGCGAGGAGTACAATGTCGTGGAGGCTGAATGCTTGCGCCTTTTTAAGGACCTACATCACAACGATCCTCTTCGCCGCTTTGACCGACAAGGAGACCGTCCGAAGTTGACGATTCGACGGCTGTTTCAATCGCAATCCCAAAAGGGACCATCGTCTTCGGCATCCACTATCAGCCGATCACCGTCTATGTTCTCGGCGGCGACTTCGGCACGCTCTTCGAACTCTACCAGCACGAGACGTGCCTATGTGACTGAGACTGATGATGGTCATGATCAGTCGCATGAAGAGGTTTTGGAGACCGTGGCCGAGGAAGACCATGCCGGTGAGCAAGCGGCTGATCCGACCTTGGAGGAGGTCATCCAGAGCGAAGCTGAGTGTTTGGCCACTGAACTTCAGGAGGCCGAGGAGCAGGGCATCGATCCAGGTGTCCTAGAGGAAATGGAGTCTTCGTTTGAGCAGGCCGCTGAGGCCCTTGTCACGATGAAGGAGGCGAAAAGCCGCTTGCAGGAGGTTCGCAAGGACCGTGGCTTCGGTCGAGCTGGAGCAGTTGGAGGTGGACGGCAAAACGCCGGAGTTCCAGCGGCCAGAAAGGCCTCGGGGAAGCATCCATGCTTCGATTGCAATCAGCATGGTCATTGGGCTGGCGACAAGGAGTGCCCTAAGCCTGGTGCAGGTCTTGGCCGAAAGGGCCCTCCAGCTGCCGCGAAAGCAAAAACGCGGCAAGTTCGTGTGACCGAAGCCTTCCAAGCTGAGCATGTCGTTGTTCCTGAACCCCTTGCACCTTCACCATCGAGTACATCCACACCTTTGGAAAACCCTGGGTCCCCTCACGAGGTCAACATGGTTTTGCACGGGAGTTCAACCATGCCCTTGGGTCAAGCCTTTGAGCAGTCGTTGGCGAATGCCTTGAACTCCACCCTCGTTTCGACCGCCGCACAGGACTTGCCGAACGAGAAGCACCATGTTGGGGCCCTAGATAGCGCGTGCAATCGCAGTTGCGCTGGACCGACTTGGCTGCAGAGCTATGTCTCCCAGCTTGAGAGTGCACCACCGTACCGTTCATTCGTGCTTTACTTCACCATGTCTCCGAATCGGAGCGATTCAAGTTCGGCAACGGAGGTGTGGCCATCAGCACCAAGAGATGGCGACTTCCGGCATGCGTCGGAGGCCATGTGTTTTTGGTTTGGATCAATGAGGTCCCCATTCCTTCGTTGGGTTGTTTACTCGGTCGCGATGTGTTGGATGCCCTCGGAGCTGTCTTGAACTTTGGCCAGCGCACCTTGCAGTGCACTTCATTGTTTGATGACTCCCAAAGGTTGGAACTCAAGCACATGGCAGCCGGGCACTTCATGCTGGAGCTCCTGCCAGAGTCTTGGCCAAGGCTCGGCCCCGTGAAATGGCGTCGATGCGGCCTTGATGGAGTGCTCGAGTTGCAGTTGACCCCAAGATCATGGCTAGAGCGAAGAGTTGCTGAGGGTTCATTTGTTTTCCAGACAAGCCATGATCACCTTTTGACCGAAACCAGTATCGAAGCCGGGAAGGGTTCTTTGCAGTGGCATGAGTCATGTTTGGTTTCTTTGTTGCCCTCATTGGCTCGAAGCACGATGTTTGACTTCGCATTGTCACTTCATCGACGCCTTCTCGGACTACCAGAGCGACTACTTGCAGAACGACCTGAAGTACCAGTTCATGATGATTTCACCACCGACATCCACCTTCCTGTCGGACATGGCTGCCTTGGAGGCAGCGCCGTTGGAGCCTTTGACTCCGTCGCTGGTGAAGATCTTCAAGGAAGTGAACACGAAGGGCATCGTGCCCTATCGGTGGAATCGGTTCATCCTCCGCCTCGTCGACAGGAGGAATTGGCATGCAAGGAGCCTACTCATTCAGTTCGCTTCAAGAGCTCACTTGCGCTATTTGCCTTTTCCATATCCCTCGGTTTGCTCAGTGGAGCAATGGCTTCTCCAGGCACAGTCAATGATCAACATGAAGACTATGAGCCGGCGGCACCACTTCATTGCCCTCGAGACCGGTGGCTACACTGTGGAGCACCTGTTGGAGCTCGGGAGGTTGAGAGACCGATGTGGCTGGAAGATGGCATTTGTGGAGGACAGTCTCTTGGCTGGATTTCTTGCTGCCCGGAGCCAGAAGGGTCAGCGGGAGAAGCTTCGTGCCGCTGCCTTGGAGGAGACAAAGCAGAAGATCGCCAAGGAGTCGGCCGAGATGGATCGCGAGATCATGGCTCGCCAGTTGCTTGGACCAAGAGGTGGTTTGCCGACCTTGCGAAGCGACTTGGTCAAGTTGGCGCTCTTGCTCAATTTGACCCCTGGACCAAAGGAGACGGTGGCTCAGCTGCAAGGCCGCATCCGCCCACTCGTGGACATCTTGAAGAACAAGAACCCTCCGTTGCATTCGACGCCCTTGGAGGTACCTCGTGCAGATCCTCTCCATCGTGTGACGCCCACGTCGTCCTCATGGTCAGCCGTGTCCGGAATGGAGGCACCGAAGGCGGCTATGGAGCGGAAGCAGGAGGGATGTCCAATGCCCTCCGAACTTCACCAGATGGAAGTTCGTGTCCAGGAGATGATGAAGGCCCAGGACGCTCGCTTTCAAGCTATGTTGGGTCAAGTGCTGCAAGCCGTGAGCCAGGGGCCTCCTCTGTCAGCAAGCGCGGGAGCTTTTCCGGCGCCATCCGAGGTGGGAACCACATCTCCGAGCGATGTGGTCATGGACCTGACCAAGGACGACCTGTGAAGAATTTCGACGACCTTGTGGACACCGTCGATGGCAACTTCAAGATTCATGGCAAAGTGAAGAAGGGCATCAGCCAGATGATCTCACAAGCATGGCATCAACATCGACGAGACCAGATCGCCCTTTCAGTTGGCTTGAAGGAGATCAAGGAAGTCTTCATGGCCACTTGGAACATGGAGATGAGAGATGCTATGAATGAGACCTTCGCTGTGGAACTTCGCATGCCCACTTTTCTCACCGAGGTCTACACCGACACTGAGCCTGTGGCTCAGGCGACTCGTCGCCATGGCTTGGTTGCTGGAGAAAGCTTGACTCTTGGCACTGGTTGGGATTTTCGACTTCCTGATCATTGCAAAGCAGCACTGGCATGGATGAAGCGTGTCAAGCCCTATGTTGTGGTCCTTGCTTTTCCTTGTGGTGCCTGGTCACAGTTGTTGGCCCTCAACGCTTCCGTTGACCTTGACAGGCTTCGTAGTGAGGCTTTTGAGTTGGTATTCTTTGCCATCGAGGTCGCTCGCTTGCAGTTGAGAGGAGGTAGGCACTACTTGATGGAGAATCCTCGCTCCTCCATGGCATGGAAGCTTGAGATTATGGAGGACTTTGTGCAGTCCACAGGCGCCTTGGAGGTGGTCGTGGACATGTGTCGTTTTGGTCTTCGGGCCCCTGACGGTGAACTTCACAAGAAAGCAACGAAGCTGGTGACTTCAATGCAAGCCCTCGTGTCCGCCTTCTTGGACAAGCGTTGTTTGGGAGATCACCGTCACACACCGGTGATTGGAGGCAAGAAGATTTCTACCGCGGCGGGTCACTACACCAAGGACTTCGCCGACGCCGTGGTCGATGCCTGCATGCAGCAGTACGACTTCGAGAACGCCTACATCTTCAAGGGCTACAACCATGAGTCCGAGGCTTTCACTGTTGAACATGAGGTGATGGCCGTTGGAGATGATGGCGATTTGGACTCCGAGGCTTCATTTGAGGTCTCCAAGGACGATGAGCAGAAGCCCATTTCCGCAGCGGTGAAGAATGCCGTTTACCGCCTGCATGTGAACACCAGCCACCGGAGCAACCAGAGGCTGGCGAAGGCTTTGCTGATTTGTGGAGCCCCCAAAGAAGCAGTTCTGGCAGCCAAGCGGCTGAAATGTCCTGTTTGCGCTGAGCGGCGCAACCCAAAGCCTAGACCGGTTGCATCCTTGCCACCCCCTCGTGATGTTGGCCAACAAGTGCATTTGGACTTGGTCATGCTGGAGGACTCCATGCGGAATCCCTATGTGGTGGCCCATGCGACCGACAACGTGTCTCGCTACCAGGCTGCAAAAGTGTTGAAAGACAAGAGCACTGCCTCCGTCATTTATTTTTTGCAGACGCTTTGGATCCCACTTCTCGGTCGACCACATACCATCGTGGCCGACCAGGGCAGGGAGTTTGTCTCCGCCGAGTTCGGCGATTGGTGCGACAGCCAGAGCATCTACCTGTACCACATTGGAGTCGGTGCCCCTTGGCAAAACGGGATCTGTGAGCGATCCGGCGCTACTTTGAAAGCGTTGGTTGGTGCTGTTGCTCAATCTCACGCCATTGGGTCCTTCGAAGAGATGGAGTTGACAGTTGGAGAGGCCGTGGCTTCCTATAACTCTGACTTGAATGAAGGTGGGGTGGCACCCATCCAGTTGGTCACGGGCAAGATTCCTTCGCCTGGTGGTGATGTGTTGAACAGCTTCAATGCCCGCCTCAGCGAGCACTCTCTCATTGAGGCGAAACCAACCCTGAGCAAGCTGGTCGCGATTCGAGAGACGGCTCGACTCTCGATGATCAGACTACACTACAGTCGAGGCCTACGGCAGGCTGAACTCAGTCGCTCTCGAGCGACGACTGGTGAAGATCTACCTCAACCTGGCGACTTGGTGTTCTTTTGGAGAGCTCAAAAGTATCAGTCCAGGAAGGATGTTGGTGCTGGCACTCGTCGCAGGCTGATGCTTCGACGTTGGCATGGGCCAGGACTCCTCGTTGCTACAGAAGGTCGTCATGGAACTGATTTAGCTGCCAATTGTTTTGTTTCCTTTTGCGGTCAGTTGACCAAATGCCCCTTGGAGCATGTGAGAAAGGCATCCTCGCTGGAGAGCATAGCAGCTGGTTCTTGGGAGGCGGCCATTGATGAGGTGATCAACGCAGCAAAGAATGAAGCTCGAGCTCGCGAGCATGATGACGGTTCTGATGAACCTGAGCCTGATGGACCTTTACGACCATCGACGCCGGAGCAGTTTGCAGGTCAGCTTCAGCCCTCAGAGATTGTGGCTGCACTTCAACCGCCAAGTTCGGCAGCACCCTCGCTTGTTGGCAGGACGGCCCCGCCATCATTGCTTGAGACCGCTGGCGAAGGCACTGAGACGCCGGGCACGGCCGCTCCTGGAACACCGGTTCCGAGCTTGATCCTGCAAGCTTCCCAGTCGAGGCTGACGAGTCCTATGGCAAGTTCGACTATGTCCCGCACCTTGGAGCGTGCGAGAGCATTAGATGAAGAAGTTGCTGAACGGGCCGAACGTGGAGTCAAGAGACCTGCAGAAGGTCCACCTTTGGAAGCAGAAGAGCATGGCGCCCGTCCTGCATTTGAAGCCTTGGAACTCACCCATGAGGAACTGCAGAAGATTTCCGATGGGGCGGACGTGCATCCTTTGTTGAAGCTCCAGGCAATGATCGACCTTGATCGCGACCTGGGCAACACTATGAGTGAGCCAGACCATGGCACATGGGACGGAAGATGGAGTCTCATTTGCCAACGTGATTGGGACACACTGCAGCGCCTGGGAGCGCAACTTCCTTCAGGAGCACCTCATGATGTGCTGGCACTTCAAACTGCTCGCAAAGAGTATGTCTGGAGCAAGATGTCTCCAAATCAGAAGCAGCTGTGGGGTGAGGCGGCAGTCACTGGATGGAAGGCCTACATCGACAACTCTGCCGTTGAGGTCCTCTCGATGCATGAGTCCAGTCGGGTTCGAAAAGACCTAGCTCGTCGTGGCGAACTTGATAGGATTTTGGTTCCTCGGTTCGTCCTCACCGACAAGCATGATGGACTTCGAACGGAGTCGCACCCGCTTCCAGTGAAGGCATCTTCGAGGTTGGTCGTGCCTGGGTTCAAAGACAGAACCAACTTGGAAGGACAACTCCGCAGAGATGCACCTACTGGTTCCCGGAACGCCCAGCACATCCTCTTCTGCGTCGCAGCATTTCATGGCTCATGGAACATTGTCTCCAGTGACGTGAAGTCAGCCTTCCTCAAGGGCGACCCCTACATCGACCGAGAGTTGTACATTTGCAACTCGAACTCCAAGACAAGTCCACCTCTTCCACTTCAGCCGGGACAACTCTGCCGAGTGCTGAAGGGTATCTTCGGTCTGGCTGATGCACCTCGCGAATGGTGGCTCCGTCTTTCTCGTTGCCTACAAGACCATGGCTGGACGAGGACTTTGGTCGATGGAGCAATGTGGTGTTTGTGGGGAACCGCTGATGATGCGGCGAAGTTGAAGGGCATCCGCCCACTTGAAGGATTGATCGTCGCTCACGTCGACGATTTGCTTTTTGCTGGCAGCGCTTCTGCAGAGGCTTCCCTGAACAAGATCGGCGGCGAGCTTGGTTTTGGGTCCCAGGACTTGAACGATTTCACTTGGTGCGGCAAGCGCATCCGACGCGCACTGGATGGCACAGTCCGCCTGAGCATGATTGAGTACCACGAGAACCTCGCCGAGGTCATCTTGAGCAGGCAACGGAAGTCAGATCCTAGCGCCTTGCTGGAACCACATGAACACCGGCAGCTTAGAGCGATCCTCGGATCGTTGCAATGGCTTGTGGCCCAGCTGAGGTTTGATTTGTCTTTTGGTGTTTCATCCCTACAGGGTGAAAACCCCCCAACAGTCGGGACTATGCTCCGAGCCAATTCCTTGGTTCGTGAGTTCAAGCGCACTGGAACCTTTGAACTGGTCTTTCGTCCGATCGATTACCGTTCAGCTGGCATCGTCGCAGTCTCTGACGCAGCCTTGGGAAACGTGCAGCTGTCTGGCTCTTCTGAAGGAGCTGCCTCTGAGAAGGTCTACTCTCAGGCCTGCTACTACATCCTGCTGGGTGATAGTGCCTTGGTTGACGGAAAGCCGGGACAGTTTAATGTCCTAGACACTCGGTCGCACCGAATTCCGAGGGTTTGTCGTTCGACCTATGCGGCTGAGACATTGGCCGCTGAAGAGGCACTTGATGCTGGGCAGCTGGCACGCGGCTTCTTGGCGACTGTCCTTGGGAAGGACATGCTTGGTGTTCGCGCTGACAGCTCCATGAACGCCGTGAAGATGACCGGAGTCGTTGACGCCAAGGACGTTTATGACAAATCCAACAGTGACACGGCTTCCTTTGGTTCACAAAAGAGCCTGGCATTCACCATTGCCTGGCTCAGGAGCTTGTTGAGGCGACCCAACACCGCCTTGAAGTGGACAGCCACGTCCAACATGTTTGCAGATGCTGGAACGAAAATGATGAGTTTGGATCACTTGAGAAAGATCCTTAGCTCAGGCACCTGGTCGATCTCCTATTCACCGGAGTTCCAGAAGCAGGTCTATAAGGCCAAGTCAGCAAAGCCTTCAAAGAGCTCTACAGCATGAGCTGAGCTGCCTGGAGTGAAGCTGCATGGCGATGACCCGATGCTGCCGCATCTCCTGACGCTTTGTGAGAAGCGCGGATGGCATCACCAAGCTGGAATGGGAATTCAGGTTGCTTTCAATGCCAAGTCCATGCGGACCGGCGAACCACGTTTCAGCTGTGCAGAGTTCCCTTTGAGAACAACTTTTGCCCGCTTCTGTCGAGACGGACAGAGCTTTTGGCACCGACTTGAGGCTGGCACTGCTGTTGGTGAACTTCCCAATCAGCATGCGCTGATCCCTGTACCGGCAGAGGTGTTAGTCACCTTTTTCCATCCGATGTCCACTCAGCCTTTCTGTGGCACAAGCTTTAAAGAAGAAGATAGGATGAATGTGAAAGACTGAGGTATCGATGCCAGATTCCCTTCATGTGCGGCCATTGCGGCCCGAATCCCCTCGGCCTTTGTACCAGGCCTTCAGCCATAGCTACGCTTCTCGGAAAACGTTCGATTGACTTTGCTCGACCCCGCAGTTCGTGTGTTGTCATAGAGCGGCCATCCACACTTATTTTATCTCCATCAGTTGACACATGGACGCTTGCTAGACCTCCCGTTTATCCACCCCTCGTGCTCAAGACACACGATCAATGGCGTTGCCCGGTGTGGCCCATGACAACTGACACAGGGCTTCTTCGAACGCCTACTATTGACCCTGGGTAGCCCCTTTTCAAAAAAGCATCTTCGATCGGGCAAGGTCACAGAACCACCAGATCTCCAGTGGCTCTTCACCACCTGCACCGCCATCGGGGCCACCGGCTGTCCCCAACTGCAACGCGTGTGCGGCGATCAGTGTCTCAGTCGCAGGTGGCAGAGAGGCGGAGAAACCCTCCCAACAAAGATAGAAGTTCCTAAGCAGCCACCCCAGGAAAGTCACCAAACCCAGAACCCAAAGATTTACATAAGGTAGTTAAGATGGAGGGTTGACCGCCCAAACCCAGAACCCAATCCAGAACTGCAGGAAAATCACCTTAAAGGTATTTAAGGCAGTGTCCATCCAAACACTCAAACAAATCCTTTTGCACGACTTGAGTCACATTGAGTCATGACTCATGACAGCTTTTTGCGTGCCTTTTGTTTGTGCGGCATGAGATGTGGACTGGCGCTGACTCGTGGGAACAGCATAGCTAGCTTGCTAGATAGCTCGCTTGAAGACCATTTTCCGCTAGACGGAGGGAACAAAAACACACATAGATGTTTATAATTCATAGTTATGTTTATATATACGTAAATATAACCAATTAAATCCAAATAATATCAACTATACTCCTTTGGTGGCAGGGCAAGTGTTTGTCGATCATGGTTGATCATTATCTTGTGACTTGCTTTGAATTAACTCAAATTTGAGATTGGTGTCCAATCTCTTTCTTTGGGTAGTTAAACGTCACCCATTGTTAGGTGAATGGCGCGAGGAGCAAAGGCCACAAAAGCAGATGATGTAACGACAACGCAAGGGGACATACATGGAACAGTCTCAAGCAGCTGAAGTATTAGTTCTCATGCTTTAACTTGTTCCAGAGTTCCCCCCAAAAAAACACAGAACGCAAGGCGTTCCAGAAACTTGCCGGTCAGGAAGCTGGTCCGATCCTCGTTTTGCCCAATGCCGCGCTTGGGGCGATCCGCACTTCATCCGGAGCTGGAGACCCAACCAGAAGCGCTTTGACTACCAAGGCAGGGACACGCCTCGGGTGGGGACTGGGACGTTCGTTCGCATGGAGTTTTATTGTATGTGGTGCCTGCCGGGGAGAAGGAACCAACTGTGAAATAGCTCATTCATATATATATATATATAACTATATTAATAAATATATTAAATATATACATATAACATATATATATATACACCATATATTATACATAATATTATAGCTATCTCGATTACTTTTTGGATGATCAGTTTGGTTATTTTTCCATCCGACAAGATTGGGGCGTTTTACAGCACAATGCACACACAAAAACGTGTACGCTCTAAGGCCCGAGCGGAGGTGCACGCAAGTGGAGAAAAGGATGACATGGATAGACATGAAGACAGAAGCAAAGCATGGAAGCAAAGCAGGAAGGGTACATGGTTGCGAATGAAGGGGCCAGATGGCACCGAGCAACAAGACCAAGAACCGTAATTGCCTTTCTATTAAAAACTGGACGACCTTAACTGGTTTCGGGTTTGGTATGTTAGTGTGTACACAAAGTGCGGGGCTGAGATCACTACCTCTGATCCGCTGTAGACTGCTCTTGACCATACGGTCTGCTCCAGTCGAATCCAAGTCTCACAAGGGTTAATTGACTAAGGCTCCTCGGGCCGCTGTGGCCTGCTCTGCCCACTCCATTGGTGGAGACTTCATCCCCAGTAATAAGACTGGGTCACGGAGGGCACTACTTGGGGCTCACTCCCGGCTCCCAATATTGAGAGACACTCCTGGGATAAGGGTTCGTACAGTATGCGGTTTGCCACTTACAGAGGCCTAAATGAACACCTTAATGAACAGGTGAAGGTACACTATGCAAATCGAAACAGCTGACAATTCAGGATTGAAACTAATAGCCAATGACGCATGATGAAAGCGTTCATTGAGAAGCACCCAGTGCTTTCATTGAAAGACAAACAGTCTTTCATTGATCTTCACCCAGTGCTTTCATAGGACAATGCTCATGTTATTCATTGATTATAGATCACTTGTATAAACAAACGAACACAATCAGTAAACTCTTTTCAGTGCCAGGGACAAATGCTGATGCATGCCATTGCATGAAGCATCCCATTGTGTTTGTGGGAGAAACCAAAAGGTGATTTCTCCCAACACATGCCAGTTCAGAAGTGATTGCTCCATGATACTTGCACACCAAAGTAACCAATATTCCAGCAGTTTTTTGACTCATTTCCTATTGGTTCCATTTGTGTAACATGTCACACAGAAAAGCGTTGCTTTTGTGTGATTTGGTAGAAAAAGGCTAAAGGCTTGGCAGTACCTTAGCAATACTCTGTTAACTAACACAACTATGTTAAAGCTTAGCTAAATCCAAGCCGATCAAAGCAGGTGACAATTCACAGTGGCAAACACAAGACATAACGGACACGCAACACAGAATGACCAACACAATGAACATACCAAGCAACACATCTAACAAATCAGGTTTACAAACACGGCAGCACACACACGACAAAGAATGACCGACATAGTCACATTACTAGACATAACCACAACACGCAAGACTTGACGATACACAAAGACCAGCACGACAGCAAAAACAAACAATGACAGGCATAGTGGCAGCATCAACCATAACCACAACACTCAGAACATTTGACAACACACCAGGACAAGCACACCATCAGACAACAAAAAATCAAAACGTTTTGACCGCCCCTTAAACGTTAATATTGGGACACTTGGGTGTGTGGGGATAGCTCGAAGCAACACTGGAGACGGTATTGATGGCCTCGAACCGCCAAAACACTATATATATATAGAGGAAAATTCCCCAGCTCAGACTCCGTCAAGATTTCTCAGTGAAAAAGTAGTTCCCTCGAACACATGGTAGTTGTTAGCCTCAGAGATAGCGCAGGGGGCTCTCACACTTGCTGGTGTTTGGTCCGTGAAACATCCGAATTCCTGCATGGTTGCTGTTAGTTTAGTTGAAGAATGGGCGCAGAAAAACGGATGGTAACAAGGGCGGCATTTTGGGATATGAATGATGGGATTCAACAAGGATGACCAATCATAAGAACAACATCGAACAACGCGTTTCTTTGGAGAAGTGCTGGCAGTGCAGTACAAAAAACAAAACCAAACAAATATATTATCGATGAACGACTTGGGTCCATTGATTTGTGGCTCCCTTGTTTTGAGATGTCGACGTTGCACCGTTCCACTCCCCCGGTCTCAAACACTATATGAGCAACGGCTTGCCAAATGCTGGCTTCCTTCGGTTTCAAGGAGTGCTGTTGTCAATGTTATGCCGCAATGCGAGGCAGTGGTGTTGTTCGTTATGCAAGCAGTGGCCAGTGTGGTGGGCAGTTCGAGCTCCAGGCCTTTCAATGTGCCTTGGTGTGCAGGCCTTGCCCCACCCAAAACTTGCAGGGGTTTGCAACCATAGAGATCACCAAATAGATGGACACGGTTTCCATTAATACATGTTCAAAAATGTTTAGAACATGTTTGTTGAACCATCCATTTTGGGATTATATATCTCTGACATTCATTTCTCAGAAGCCTGCAACAGGTCTCCTGTGGAAGGTTGTTGGGTCCTGGCCCCTGATAAACTAGGTTCATCTCAAATTTCCAGGATCTTGGGTTTTGAACTGTTGCCGCGAAACAAGAGTTGTGAACAACCACCAGCTTTGAGTTGCATAGTTCGCTCAGTTGGATCACCACTTTTTCCCCGTTCGGCCCCACCGTCTTCTCCCTTAGGCCAATACAAGAGCGGTCGGAACGCTGTGATGATTGGCTTGGCTTTGCGTGTCGATGGCGAGACGGTCTACATTGCTGATACCTCAGTGACCTCAAGCGGAGCCGTGCAGGCGTGCGGCGTGGGGGAGGTTGGTCGGACTTGTTTCTTTTTTCATGTCTTCAGTGTGTTCTGATTGGCTTGTCACTTCTTGGCTTTCTTTAGACCTTTAGACGCCTTTTAGACCTTTATTTGCCCCTCCTTCCTTTCTTTTTTTCCTGTTTTTCGTCCGTGCGATTCATGTTTTTTCTTCAATGATCGCATTGTTGGAACACTTCGGCTTCAGTGCTGGGCACCTTTTTGGCAATGTTGCAATGTCCAGCCATTGTTGACCACATGGTCCAACCCTTAGGTGAGCCCGTCCAGCATCGAGAATGACCGGACCGGCATTAACTTGCAAAGTCGCCCGGTCCAGGGCGAGGGACTTGAAGTGTTCACGTCCAGCGATACTAGGGCGGAGGCCATCGATACTAAGGGTGGAGGCCATCACTAATAAGGATGATTATATATGAGGTTTCCTTT